AAATTTTTGCACAGGTCTGTTCGACCAACTTTGTACAAGGAGGTAAGTAGATATAATTAAAGAACTTTTTTAAAAGTCATAATAAAGGTGAACGCTTAGTTGCAAAGTCCCAAAGTTTTTTTGTACATTCATACGAATTAGATACAGTATAAATTAGATACAGTATAAACTTCACAGTTAAAAACTCTCGAATTATCATATTTTAAATATATTTCACCATGGTAGATGCTCAACTATAGTCATATGAGATACATAAAAAATATCATAGACAATTTTGTAATGCATTTTTAATTTTTATTTGCTCATTTTGATAATATACACCTCGGAGCTAATGATTCATAAATAAAATCCACATTTTTTTTTTTTTATATATTATCATGTCAAATTTAATTACATTTACTCTCATTGTTAGTTTCATACATATTTAGTTATAATATGCAACAATTTGCATCGAGTCAGATCAGGTCAGATTATAATGATAATAAATATCAATGCCTTCAGTTCTATGTTTCATTCATTACAAGAGAGATTTGCATGTACTTCGTAATAACTACAAATTGAACGACATTTGTAACATTAGGAAAACTTATTACAATCGAATTACAAGTTCCTATCACCAACATGTTTCAAATAGTTAAAATAGAATAAAAAGAGTAATATATTTATGACCCAATGGCTTTGAGGTATTATATTAAAGTACATATTACGAAGTGACAATGTATATAAATCTCATCGTTGATTATCTATCGAACATAAAACATTGATATTTGTAGGAAACGCTTAAATGTATTGCTTAGGCATTTCGATCGTATTTAATCGTTTTTGTTTCGTTAACTTTAACATCCGCAGAAAAGTATTATATATTTAAATGCCTAAGTTCTACAGGGTAATCATAATCACATTTACATATAACTGTACAATATATAAGAATAGGAGAATTGATTTTGTTTTATAATGCTGTATTTAGTTCCTAGATTAAATATACTATTTCAATTGTAATTAATATAGAATGGTACACATTTTGTAATTTTTACGTATCGTGTAGTACTCCAAATGTTCTGTGTATATATTTATATGATTTCATAATCTCTTTTGTCTACATTGACACAAGAATTGTGTAGCAACTACATAATGCAAGTATTAAATAAAAAAGAGAAAAAATGAAGTCGTGATGTGCGTAAATAATTGTATCGATTATTAACATTTATTTTTTCCATTCAATTTTTATATGCACTTCCATTAATTTGCTTAAAAAAAAAAAAAAAA